ACTAGGGGTCGCCCTCCCATTTCTTTCTTCCTTGCTGCTTTCTTGTTTACTTTCAAACATATCAAGCATTTCCAACAGATGCTCTGGGCTAGTGTCCACATCTTTGGACTCCAGAAATGTGGCTTCACAGCTGTTATCAGTGCCTCTGTTCCCAATGTCCTCCCTCATGTACCTTTTCCAGAATTCCTCTCATTACATTCACGGGAACCATCTTCAGCCCTTCCGAAGTCATCCATCCTTTCTCAGTTTGCACACACCCTTCTTTTTCCAATTCATCCTTCTCTTTTCCCTCTGGTTTCCAATCCTCATCCTCTTCCATTTCTAGCAAGGGAATTGATGCCATTACCAGCTCTATTTCCCCTGCAGCTTCTTTCACCCACTTGTCTGCCCACCTGTTCCCAACTACCTCTGGGGTGTTCCCTTTCTGATGAGCATTCACATGCACTATTGCCACTTGATCTGGCAATTGCAGGGCCTCCAAGGCCTGTTCCACAAGCTGTAACTGTTCAGCTAGTTTCCCATCAGCCTTGATAAAACCCCTTTCCTGCCAGATCTTACCAAAGGTATGGACCACACCCCAGGCGTATTTGGAATCAGTCCAGATTGTCACATCAATCCGTTCAGCCAACTCTAAGGCCCTTTTCAGAGCAAACAACTCGCACTTCTGTGCAGACCATGAAGAAGGAAGGGAGCCCTTTTCTATGACCTCCCCTTCTCCTGTCATGACTGCAAATCCTGACTTCCTTTTTCCTTCCTCAACCCTGCTTGATCCATCCACAAACCACCTTTCCCCATCTTTCAAAGGAGTCTCTTCCAGATCCTCCCTCACTTTTGTCATCAAATCTACTTGCAACAAGCAATCATGGTCCTCAGCTTCCCACTCTTGCCTTCTCCCTTCTAGGAATTCTGCTGGATTCAAATTCCTGTCTGTCCCAATCACTACATCAGGGCTGGTTCTCGAATGGTCTCATATTTGAGAATCCGCCCCTCTGTCATCCAAGTTGTTCCCAACTGACTTAGCACAGAAGTGACCTGATGAGGAGAATGCACCACAAGCCCCCCCCCCCAAAGGTTAACTTCTTGCTCTCTACCACCAACATAGCTGTAGCAGCCACAGCCTGCACACACACTGGCCATTCTCTCACCACCGGCACCAGAGTTTTGCTCAGAAAGGCGATGGGCTGGTATTGCCCCCTCCTCTTCTGCGCCAACACTCCTAGTGCCGTTCCCTGGGCTGCTGACACATACAGATGAAATGGGAGCTTTAAATTGGGCAAAGCCAAAACTGGTGCAGATGACAGTGCCTTTTTTAAACCTTCCCATTTTTCATCATCTCCCTCTAACCATTCTATACTCTCTCCTTTTCCTACCAGCTTCCTGTGCAGGAGTTGAGCTAACACAGTGTACTGGTCCACCCAGACTCTGCAATACCCCAACAATCCAAGGGTTTTCCTGACTTCTGTCTTATTTCTGGGGGGAGCCAGGCTCATGATCCCTTTAACCCACTCAGGATCCAAGGACCTCACCCCCTGCTGAATATAATGCCCCAAATATTTCACCTTCCTTTATACAAACTGGATCTTTTCCCTTGAAACTGTCAATCCTTGCTCTTTCAGCCAATTTAGCAAAGCCACAGATGCTGCTCTAACTTCTTTCTCTTTCTCTCCAGTCAATAACAAGTCATCCACATACTGAATCAACACGATCCCTTTCCCTTTCTCAAAAGACACTAACTTTTCTTCCAAAGCCTGTCCAAACAACAAAGGGCTCTCAGTATAGCCCTGGGGAAGTACTGTCCACCTTAATTGCTGTTTTCTCCCAGTCTCAGGATCATTCCATTCAAATGCAAACAGGTCTCTACTTCCCTCCTCAAGGGGGCATGCCCAGAAGGCATCCTTCAGATCTATCACAGTAAACCATTTGTCTTTGGGAGGGATTCGTCCCAAGATAGTATAGGGATAGGTTTCAACCCTTCCTACCTCTCTTACTCAGGGAATATTGTGGAGTCCACAGTTTAGTTATCCCTGGTTGTATCTTGATTTGAATGGGCTGTATGTTCATTCGCCCTGCCTTCTCTCCTCCTGCCCATACCTCATCTGAAATTGCCCTTTCATCCTCCACAGTCATCTTACACATCCTTATTCCCTTCCCAGTATCCCACAGCTGGATACCGAACACAGGCAACAAATCTCTCCCCAGCAAATTCACTCCAGAATCAGGAATATACAACACTTCAGCTTCAGTCACCACTTCATTCATCTCCAGTCTAATTTGTTCAAACACACTCACATCCTGCGATTTTCCACTCACCCCAACTACTTCTATCACTTTCCTTGATCTATGTGCACCCTCTACTGGGTCACACACAGAAGTCCGGCTTGCGCCGGTGTCTATCAGGAACAGCCGCTCCTGACGGTTAGGACCCACTAAAATGTTTACCAATGGCTCCCCGTGGGTCCTCTTAAAGGAGCCGGAACAGCCCTAATCATCATACGATGCATAACTCCGCTCTTCTCGGTTGGTCGGACACTCGTGCGCAAAATGACCTTCCTTCCCACACTTGAAGCAGCTCCTATCCATTCCAGGCTGTCTCATTCCCATACCTCTTCCTCTGGAACCTCTTCCTCTACCTCGAAAACCTCCCTGATTGAATCACCCAAAATTCTCTCTTCTTTCTCCAATTGGACCCTTCCCAAAGTTCCCACTTTTCTTTACTTCGCTCTTTGTTGCAGCCTGTACAGCTGCAACCATCATCTGGGACTTCTGTCTGGTTTTTACAGTGTCTCTGTTCACAAAAACTTGTTGGGCTGCTTTCAGGAGATCAACCATTCCCACAGCTCCCCAATTATCCATTTTCTGAATTTTCTTTTGGATAACTGGCCAGGCTCCAGTCACAAACTACATTTTCAGCATGGCTTCAAAAGCAGGTGTGCTAGGGTCTACTCCTGAGTATTTAACTAGACTTTCCCAGAGTCTGGTACAATAATCTCTAAGGGATTCATCTTTGCCTTGGTTTACTTCAAAGGCTTTAGTTAAATTTTTCCCTTGTGGGACTGCCAATTTTATCCCCTCCATAATCATTGCTCTCATATCCCTCATACTTGCTCTGCCACCCGCAGTGTTTGGATCCCAATTTGGAACTGCTATGGGGAATTTTTGATCTCCTGCCACCACCCCTTGTTGCCCATTCACTCTTTCATCCCACGCTCTCCAGGCTGAGGTCCGGATGAGATTCTGCTCCTCAGGAGTAAATAGATGTCCCAAAATGTACATCAACTCCTGATAAGTGTAATCATTCGGACCCAACCATAGCTCTAACTGTTCGGCCACCTCATGAGCATTTTCATGAAGTTTTGGAAGAGTCTTCTTCAATTCTCGCAACTCGGCTGGTTTTATGGGGACAGCCACAAAGACTGTCACCGGATTGCCTGCAGCATTGATCCCATTAGGGACTTCCCTAAGAGGAAATGCATCCACTTCAGGTTTGTCTCTGAATGGAAGATTCTCAATATCTTTCTCCAATTGTTTTAGTTCCTTTTTCAGTCGCTGATAAGGAGACAACTGAGGAGGGGGTTGTACCACCAGCAATGACGGCGGTGCCATAGGAACATTGGGTGCATTATTCAAATTTGGAGTTAAAGGCGGCGGATTCTGAAGCCAATCATCTGTCTCGCTTTCATTACTCTTGAGACATGTATTGACCCTCAATTGGAGGGACGAGACCTTCAAATTTCACATGAAACCATACATCTATGTATGCAATTTGGGTGGTCATTTTGTGTTGGAGAATATAGTCTCGCAATTTGGTCATCCAATAGGTACTGGTTTCACCCTCAGGACTCCAGTGATATGGAAATTTAGGATCAATCAGAGGATATTTTGGCCATCTGTCTCAACAAAGATAAATCATGTTTTTCTTTTCAAGATGTTTGGTGAATTCCTTTAGATTCGGGGAGAACCACTGCTGAAGTAGTTGTCCCAGGGGCGAATCTACTGGAATAGGTTTTCTGCCATTGTCAAACCTTCCCTGTCCCAGACAGGCTTCTTCCTAGTCTCCAAGACCCTTGCTTTGTCCCTTTCCCATCTCTATTCTTTCAGACTCCCAGAGTCTTGACTCACCAGTCCCAGTCCTCCAGCAAGTGCTGGATTCTCCCAGAGAGTTTAAGAACCTCCTTTTTCCAGACTCCTAGTCCCAGTCCTCCAGCAGATGCTGGATTCCCCCAGGGAGTTTAAGGATCTCTCTCTTTTGGCTACAAATGAAAGGAACAAAGTTTACCTGATCTGATCACTCCTGGACTCTCCGCAGTCAAAGGATGTGTGGGCGTCCCCAACTCAGATCGATTTCACAAACTCTCAGCGGGCATTTTGTCTAACTTCTTTTTCCAAGGACTGTTTGGATTCCCAGTCACCTCGGGAGTCTGACTGAATTCGGAGAGAGGTGCCTCTCAATGGGAGGTTGTGGCCACTCTCTTACCTGGTCCCCGCTTTCCAGTTGACCACCGTTGAGGATCCCGGATGAGCCCCCAAATTGTGAAATTGTGGCTAAAGAAAAACCACCAGGATTCAAAGTTGATCCAAGGAAAAAGGCTTTATTGTATATACATCTGCAGATGGGTTCCACCCTAGGCAGCTGGGAGGAACGAAAAACATAGCTTTTGCTCTTACTCTTATACCCCAAAACTACCCCCCCCCCCAGTATACAAATGGCTTGATTTACAATCTATCTTTCAGGATACAAGTTACAATTTATTATCTTTTTGATACCTAGCACATAACAGACACTTCCTTACCCGTTATCTGGCATTTCAAAGACATTCCAAAAGGGTGTGATAATTCCCAGAGCTTCAAAGGCATTCCAAAATCAGGCAAACATTTTAACTGGTGTCTGGTACTGCACTCCCTTACTTCAAAGACATCCCTTTCAACATGAGATTTGAGTCATAAAATGGATACTTTATTAACACTTCTCACATCTCCGATTCAAGCCAATTGAAGGCACATATCACACATCATTTTCCTCCACTGTGCTGGAAATAGGCTGAGGATCCTCCTGAATATCCCAGCAGAATTTGAAGGGCAGCTTTTCCATCCTCTCCTTAAAGACACGGTCAAACTTTTCACTCTGGGCAACAGTCATGTGATTCTTCCAATCCCCAACAATGCCTGGAAAGTAGTGGTTAAAAAACATCAACAGTTTTTGTAGTCAATTAAACTAGAGGCTATTTGGGTCATCTTATCACCAAAATGAATGTGTGTGTGTATAGGAATGTACAATATGTTTGTGTGTATGTATAGACACACACACACACACACACACACACACACACACACACACACACACTGTATACATCTATATATTTAGAGCTTCACAAGGGGACTATAGGAATGAAGGTCAAAAGTCATCCGGATATGGTTTCTAATCTCCAATTACCATGCTTCCTATGAGTTTCTTGGAGTCTGAGAAAGAGGATAATAGTTTGCAAAACCTGGAACATTGCACATTCCTCCATTAGCAGAGGAATGTTTAATACCTCCCTGTCCATCAAACAGTATATACAAATCTGTATTTCTAATTGTTGGGCAGGAAGCTGGTTCCTTACTATTTTAACTAGGGCTGGATTACAGAGTGAAGACTTGAAAGAAGGGCAAAGATTTCTCTAACTAGAAGGGGTCAAGTGATTTCTCTGGCATGAGTATCTTGTACCAGGAAGTCATGGAACCAATGGTCTGCCAGTGAAGTTCTAAATTATCTGAAGTTCACCCTATTGGAACCGGCCCCATGATTAATTTAAATGATTGATGCTGCTATGTCCCTGCAGCTTAAAGGAGGCAGCTCTGAGACCCAGGGTAGAGAGTAAAGAACAGAGGTGGTATTCAGCAGGTTCTGACCAGTTCAGGAGAACTGGTAGTGGAAATTTTGAGTAGTTCGGAGAACTGGCAAATGCCACCTCTGACTGGAGATTTTACAGTGCCCTTCCCCTGCCACACCCACCAAGCCATGCCCACAGAATGGGTAGTAAAAAAATTTGAATCCCACCACTGGTAAAGAAGATGTGTCTCCAACAGGCTAAAGTGACGGTATGAACTAGAACAATCGCATTCCTAAAGGATCATTAGACTGTTCAAGCAACAGACTGGTCATTGAAATAGTCAGATTATATCTATGGCAAAAAACCTATCAGGATTTAAAGGAGTACACCAATTTAACACTGGTACAGCTAAGAAAGTCTTATGGCTGCCTCAGTGCAACATCATGAAGAGACAGCAGAAAGAGAAGTTGTTAGAAAATGTACATACTACTCTACAAAAAGTGACAATGTTGGCATATTCCATAAGCATACACCTAGAGTATAAATTTCTATGAATTTACCTTTACGAAGAAAGACCCCTTTGCTAGAATCTACTATGGTAGGAACCATTAATTTGTAGTTTGCTCTAGGATCCATTTTCATGTTATCAAATGTAGCTTTATCCACCACATCATCCACCTCCTTTTCAGTTAGTTCTCTTCCTAGGAAGTTGCATATTTTCAGTACAGAACTTCTCAGATCCTGCAATTTGATACAGCTTTATATTAGTTAATTCATAACAATGGAGAAAAGATGGAAAATGTTGCTGATATATTTGGGGAATTCTAAAGATTATCACTATCTTATAGATATCTCGCATATCAATGCTGTCTCTGACTTCCCTGCCTTTAATTCTTTCTTTTCTTACTGAAAACAATTATTCTAATATTAAATCATTTGTATATTTTTATTTTTTTTAAAAAGAGCAATATTTATTAAACATACAAATCCATTCTTAGAACTGCTGCTAAGGGTTTCCAAGAGACAAGTTGTTGAGAAACAGTTTTGGTTCTCAATATATTTATGATTCAGACTCTTATATTCTTAGCAATCTTGGTTGCAACAGAAGCTGATCAGTTTTCCAACCAAGCTAAATAAATGCTTTGGTCTCTCTTGAAAATGCACTTGAGTTGAATCAACCTTCTTTAAGCCAAAATAGGAGAACATTATTTATTTTGCTTTATTTTACCTCATTTTATTGATTAAAATCATATCCTGCTCATCTCATCAAATGCTTACAAAAATGACCTTTATTAATCTTTTTGATACCAAGATGATCATATTCCGGTTTCATGGATCCTCCTCCTTTCTGTTGAAGAGGGGGCTTTTATGTTTCTTCAGAGACCTTACCAGTTCTCCAGGAGTTCACAGAAATAACCAAGAGTGGTTCAGTGGTCACCTCTATTACTTCTTGATGGAATAAGTTATTCTATACATCCCATCATTTCTAAATCTTTCTGTGCTTGATGGTTGTTCATATTGCACAATGCAAAATGGTCATATCTTACCTTTTTCATTTCTTCATAAGAAAGGAAGAGAATATTGAAATCATTCTTATGAGCATACCAGCCTTCTATATGGTCTATCCACAAACTACTGGGCACTGATAGAAGAGAAATAAATTTGGCATAAATATGATCTTCAAAGTCACTTGATTTAATTGTTTAGTTGGGCACTGCAATGTTCCAGCTAACAATCTGTCTTAGGGATACTTTCTGAATACTTGAATTTCTTCCATTTATCATGACCTGATGGGCCTACAGATCAAAGCTCAACTGAGAGGCCACCTTAATAACACTAAATGCAGAGAAGAGAGAGAAGGAATGGGAGCCATAACTAATGTGGTTGCATAATCTCACTTGTCAAGAGGAGAGTTTTGTCAAAATGTTGCTATATTGTTTTCTTTCTTTTGCTTTTCTTTATTTGGATCCTTGTATTTCTTTCATACTCCCTTAAGAAGCAGCCTCTCCCACCCCCTTTTGCATCACGAAATATTCTAGGAATCCCCACTCTTCTCCATTCATCCATCCCATTATAAACTATTTGCATATAGTTTACACAAATTATTGAATGAGCATTGAAAATAATTATTCTTATTTTACTTTAAGGAGGAGGGTGGATTGTTTTCTGCTTGCAGAAAGCGGATTGCATTCATATCTCTTGTCCAAAACAAAAACTAACCTGATGGTGATTAAGTTCTTACCTTTGCCAGCCAAAAACCTCTCGAAGTAAGCATCAAACTGTTTGGATGTTTCCATTATGATTAGCATTTTGTAAAAATGATAGCTGGAAACCAAGACATCCTTTGGATTTCTAAACACATAAATAATCTGTAGGAAGAAGAAAGTATCTACTAAAAAATGATCCTCCAGTTAGAGAGAATGCAGCAGGAAAAAAGTGGGATGGTTGAAAAGTCTTCCCTGAGGCTTGGTGGACCTTAGGGGAGTTTCTGGAGGGCTGATCTCCATTTGTATTTTATTTCACAATATGTTAACTTCCCATGAAAAAATATATCTACAATCTCTCTCTCTCTCTCTCTCTTTCACACACACACACACACACACACACACATCTCTATCTCTATCAACTCTTTATCACTCTATCTCTATCTCTATTTCTATATCTATCTATCTATTTATCTATCTATCTATCTATCTATCTATCTATCTATCTATCTATCTATCTATCTATC